ATATATATACACACACACATATATATATATTTACAAAGTCTTCAATAGTAAAATATAGAAACTCTTTTAGACAAACTGAAGATTTTCCAATTTTAACAAATAGTCAAATATTCTTTGAGAGATTTTGTTTTATAGCATCATGATTTCCAATCTATAATGATGATGGATCAAGCCGGACTGTTTCCTTCCTCCAGAGTCCTTTCTTTACACTGTGATGCTCCATATTATTAATCATTTGGGATATGAATATCAAAAGTGATGTGTATTGAAATAGGTTGGCTTTTGCAGTGCTTCTTGAAAAGGTTGCTTATTAATCTGTCAGTAGAAAATACTGTAGAAGTTTTTGTTCCCCTCTAAAAGTAGGATTAAAAGGTAAACATATTCTCATACCTTCTCCATCATTTGCCTAAGATCATGCATAACTTATACATCTCACTGGGGCTCATATCTTTTTTCTTTTTTTGATATGAAATTCATGAACTTAATTTAGAACTGAAGCAGATATTTTGACATTGTTTGTACAAAGTGTTAACTACTTGTTATTCTGCCTTCTCTTACTAGGATGTTTTAAGAATAATTTTCTATTATATTCAATATACCAGTATATTTCAATATACTAACATATTATTAAGTCATATTGTGTTATAAACTTCACACCAATTACTTTTCCTGAATTAATGTCTGTTTCCTACATGCGGGATTTATTTTACCCTAATTCAGGGCTTCTTTATTTGGGGCCCAAGGATAGAATATAGGGCTCTACAATCAGAGGTGGGAAAGCACATCTTTATTTTCACAAACTCCAGCTGAAATTTGGCAGTCTCTTCAATGATTAAAGTAAGCAACAAATGACAGTAATATTATCTATAGTTTGATATTGCCAACAACGAAACTGTAGATATGTTTATATACTAGAGCTGCTGCATAGATCTTGAAACATTGTTTATATTCATCACTATGATAAAATTATGATTTTTAAGATAGCCTAACAACAACAGCAATAATTGGATATTATTTAATGCATTAATAAAGCTTTTAACATGCTTGTTTTTTAAAAATACTTAGATTACTTTAAAATGCTCCATATAATTGATATACTTTTAAATCTTATGTATTTAATTTTGCATATTTAAGAAAAAAGCATTAGTCTTGGAAGCAAGCCTTGGTTTTACTTGACTGCCAAAAAGGATCAAGACACACGCAAAAGTTTAGAATTCCTGACCTAATGGCCAATTTGATGAATTAGAACTACTTCTCTTAAATATCTTGCTGTATGAGCCCCCCAAAATAGATCATACAATAGTCCCCTCATCACTACTTCCATTACTACCTCTATTACCACCCCTCCACTATTCCTGTTATGATCTAACATTTATTGCATACTTTCAATGAGTTGAATATTATGCGATATTATTGCATGATTGCTCCTAATTGTCTGCTAATGTGTTGTTGTTGTTATGTGCTATAGAGTCGGACCTGACTCATAATAACCCCTCCTTGGGTTTCCAAGGTGGTATCACTATGCAAGTAGATTGCCCAACCTTCCTTCCAAGGAGTGGCTGGTGGGTATGAACCACTAGCCTTCTGGTTAGCAGTCAAGTGCCTTAGGCACTATGCTACCAGAGCTCCTAACACATTCTTTCCCTGGCTTCCAGGCCAGAACACTCTTAGTTTTTCTTCTACTCCAGCTAGCTGCCTCTTCTCAGTCTCTTTAGTGGTTATCTTATTTTCTCCCTGTAACTGTTTACAATAGATTAATTAATCTATTAATAGATTAATTAATTAATTAATTAATCCTGGGCCCCTTATTTACATTTATTCTCTCAATTTAATCTAGTCTATAACTTTGTATTTATATACTAACAACTCCCAAATTATTATCTTCAATCCAGGCTTCTCTCCTGCACTTTCAAGTGATCTCAAACTTTACATTTCCAAAATGGAAGTCTTGTCATTACCTCAACTCTAAAATCTTTTCACCTAGAATCCTATCTCAGTTGATAGTAATGTCATCCTTGCAGTTGGTAGGGCCAAAAATCTTGGACCCATCCCTTTATTGGTCTTTAGTCAATCCTTTATTGATTTCCATTCCACATCCAATCTGTTAGCAAACCTTCTTGTTTCTACCCTCAAAATATACTCAGAATCTATTTCTCTCTGATTCCATTGCTTCTAATCTGGAATGAACCACAGTCATCACAAACTTGCTTGAGTTTGCGAGTGGAAATGCCTACTTTTTTCATGCCTCAGTAAAGCATGTGCTGTACACAAAAGTCAAAGTGGAAGTGTTAAAATTAAGTCAGATCTCCCTAATCCTCTGTCTCAGACCCTGCAATGGCTGTCCATTTTACTCAGAATAAGAGCCAAAGTCTTTCCAATGGCTTATGAAGCCCTATGTAATCTCATACCATCTTCTGCTACCCTATCCTTTACTCACTATGCTTTAGCCACTCTAGCATCTCTGCTATTCCTGGAACATTTTAGTCATGCTCCTGCCTCAGGCCCTTTGCATTGGCTATTCCCTCTGCTGGGCATACTTTCTCTCCAGATAATACATTGCTAACGTTCTTCAAGTCTTTGCTCATATATCATTCTTCAAGTAGATTTACCCATCTCCAGTGTTCCTTTCCCCATAACCCCCCTTTACTCTGCTCTATTATTTTTCCATTCATAGCTCTTATTACTGATAACATGCTATGCAATTTTTTTATTTTTATTAGTTATTTTCTATCTTCACACCAGAATACAAACTCTGTGAAAGCAAATTTTTTTCTCTTTTTTATATTGCTGTATCCTAAGCACCTAGAGAATTATGACACACAGCAGGTGCTCAATTAATATTTGTTAAATGAATAAATGACATTTAGGTGACCTGTGCAAGGTTACAAATTGTAAATTAGGATTTAACATCAAGGAGTCTGATTTCAGAGCCCTACACTCTAATCACAGTGTAATACCACCTCTTCCCTATCCTTTTTTTTTTTTTTTTAATTATGCTTTAGGTGCAAATGGTACTAGCATAGTGCTTAACATATTTGAGTGTTAACCAGAAGGCTGGCAGTTCAAACCCACCAGCCACTCCTCGGAAGGAAGATTGGGCAATCTACTTCCATAGAGATAACACCCTGAAAACCCAAGGAGGGGTCTCTATGAGTCGAACTGAATCCATGGCAGTGAGTTTGTTTGTTTGTTTTTTTATAGGTGCAAATTTACGGAGCAGAATTTGTTTTACATTCAAAAGTTCGTGTACATTTGGTCTCACTCCCCAATTGCCATCCCGAACCCTAACCCACTCTCCTCCTCAGTTCCCAGTGACATCCACTATCCCTGTGCCCTTCTTAGTTATGCACTCCTGTCTGTCCATCTTTTCCTCTGTGTGAACCTCCCTACCCTTCTAAGATTTACTCAAATGCCAACCTTCACAAAGCTTGATTTTCATATTCAAAAATAATTTGTCTGTCTTCCCAACCTTCATAGCATTCCATTTCTATCTCCTTTATAATACTGTTCAGTTTTTACCTTTTAAAATACTTATTTAAGTACATATCTCCAAGTAACTTGTAAATTCATAAAAGTTAGGTTGGATATGTTTCTTCTTTGAGTATGTCCCATAAGGCAATGATTAAATTGTTTTTGGATGGATAAATTTATGAATGAATATGTGAATGAGAGAACTCTAAGAAAGGAGAAGGATATTAGCTGACAATTTTGTCAGGCTAACATTGGGCAAATATAAATTTTAACCAAATTTCCTCAACTCTGTAGTATTCAACTAAACAACTGTATCTTATGGGAACACATGGATTGTTCTGATAACAAAGGGGACCACAGAAAGTTTCTGAGCATGTGTCCTGATAAGCAATGCTTCAATGGTCAAAAGAAATAGGAAATCACTGAAGTCATTCATCAAAAGGCTTTTATAACTGCAAGAAAAATGAAACTGCCTGCTACTGTGAGTAATGGGAACAAAATAGAGGAACTCTAATGATCTAATCATAAACTCCATAAATATTTGCTGATAAAGCAGCTTGAACAGACCTAAGGAGAAAGGATTTTTTTTTTCATTCTTTCCTTGTGGTCTCCATTTTCATAAATCTTTTCATTAACCATAATGAACAGGCATATATTTTTCTCTTACTCCAAAATATGTTTAAAAGTACCCAAATAAAATGGGTTTTTATGGGCTACTTACATTGAAAAGATTGAAAACAAGAGGTTTGGTTTTGTGAAAGTAAACAATCCTTTGCTTTACCATTTCAGTGCTAATTTAGTCTAAAATAATACTTAATGTCCCCTTAGAACACACAAAATACAAACAGACCCTAAAAACCAAGTCAAATTTACCACTATACAATATAGCTCTGTAAAAGTCATACATGAATGAGAAATAAAAATATTTTAAAGGTTGTGGATAAAAGATGAACAAACCTAAACTTACCTAGCCATCTGTAGATGCTTTTTCCTAAGAATAACAAGGGTCACAAGCAGCAGTCCAATTAAAAGTGTGCTAAGGATGGCCAGCACTGAGATTACTACCACATTGGGATTCATCTCTGTAACTAAAGAGATAAGCCATGCATTTTCATTACAAATTTCATTCCATGGAGCCAAACAGAAACATTCATTGTTTTCATTTAATCGTAGGCACAATGAATTTATGATGCTAATGACAACAATAGCAACAACAATATTTATCCGAAACAATGTGACCTCTTCCTGATAAACTATAACTTAGTAAAATAGATTGATAAATATTATTCAGGTGCCTGAAAGAATTGAATCCATTTCAAAGGCCTATATTTGGGATGTTCTTGTAAAAGAAAGCCATAAAATGTGAAGAATGCCTATGCCATATTTTAAATTCACTTGAAACTAAACACTTTAGAAGTCATTATCATTGATTAACATTTTCAAAAGCTTAGAAGGTGGCAGGTTCTTCACGTATGTCCAGGACTTTAAAGTCAGAAAGCACAACGGTATCCTGTGCTCACTATATGCTAATAATGTATATGAAAAAGACATTAGCAAGCTACCATCTGCTGTAGCACTTAACATATTGCTAGAAGCAGGCATTCTGATGATCTGTAACCATATGTTTAGAGGCTTTTCATCTGTACAACTCTGAAGATTAAATTTATTAATAGGATGTAGGACCCTTAGAAACAGGCGTTGTGTCTTTTTATATGCTTTATATAATGACTGCTCTACTATGGCACTTTACACATGACCTGCTTCTTCAAATTATGTGGATGAGCAGAATATCAAACTCAGGAATATATGTTAAATGTTTTTTATTTTATTTTTATTAAACTCTTAAAAAGTGGGCCAGAGGAGAATCATCCCATCCTTTGCATTGATCATAAAATCACAGAACTGGCTGGTGTATCCAACTCCTATAGTTTTGGGTATTCACCACTTTCCATCTGGGCTGGCTTGGCTCCACTTCATGGGCAACATATTTGAACAGAAATAGCACTAGCCTCATGGTCAGAAGATTTTATTCAAGTTCACTTTATTATGAACTGCCATTTGGAAAGCTGTTTTATCTACATCTCTGGGTCTCATTTGCCTCAGTGGCAAATCAGTTCAGTATCACCTGTTTCACTGGGTTGCTGTGGAGATGACAAGGATATCAAAGTTTACTTAGAAAAGTATAAAAAGGATGTAAGAATGAAGGAACAAACCATACTTTTCTGGCCCTATTGTTAAAAAATGAAAACCAACCCCACCCAAAACAAAACAAAACATCTCTTTTACAATCCTATAGAAGAATGATTCTAAAGACAGACTTTGGCTAACAGGATTCAGTTACAGTAAGTATCTGTATAACCATTGTTTTCTTAAAGAAAGACATCATTGTAGTCGCAGGGAATGACTAATGTTACAGAAATGAAAATGAACCCAGTAAAAGGTAATGTGATGATAAAAATGTTTTATGATAGGAGGCTTCATAGAAGGTTTCAGATTGCAGAACCAGACTCTAACAAACTGTGAGTGAAACACAAAAATACAACTCAGGGAAAGATTAAGGAAACAACATTATTCTCGACTTCTGTTAATTTCTAATTTTCCCAGTTAAAATTTTTGCTAGATTGGAAAATTTTCTGCTTTGACTCAGCAATGTAGTAGTGCCATTATTTAATAAGTGACAGCTGAGGGCCATGGCTGCATTAGATACACCTGAGTTAATTAGGGTTCTATGCCTACTCCTGAAGATGATGATGAAGCGGCAATGATGATAAGGTTAATGACAGCAATGAGGATTTTGTCGCCATGTGTTAGGTAGGGCTTTATATTCTGTATTTCTAAGCTTCAAAACAACACAATAAGGTACATATTGATATTGCAAATTGACAAATGAGAAAACAAAGTTTAAAGAAGATAAGTATCTTGCCATTAGTTGCATAGCTAGTAAGTGTAGGTTAGGATTAAAATCAAGCTTGGGATTTATATATATTTTATATGTATTTGAAAAGAAAAGGTAAGGATAATCTCAGAGAAAGAACGTTCAGAGACAACAGATTCCACTGATGTATCTAATTACCCATTGTTGAGACGGCTATGAATGTAGGTATGCTGGGGCTGTCGTGGCTAAAGCTGGTGACACTGCAGTTATAGGCTGTGGCAGGAAGGAGGCTGGAGATGGTCACCACGTGAGAAGAAACAGAAATTGGTTCCTGGAGAGGCACAAAATATTACCTTCATTTATTTTGATTTTTAAATTAATTTTCAAAGTTGAGTAGGTAATAAATGGACCAAGTAAAGGATTTAAAAGATGCAAAGGAATATCATTGAAAAATAAGTTTCATTCTTTCCTTACTTCCTATCTACCCAGTTCTCTTCAGTAGAAGAAACCATTATTGTCAGGATATTTTTTCCTTCCCATATATATTTTATAGGTGTACAAACATAGGAAATACACTTGACAACATAAATGATAACATATTTTACACCTTGTTATGTTCATTATTTCCCCTCAATTATCTATCTATCTATAGACATTCTTTCCATATCAGTACAGATAAAGGTGTTTTATCCTCTTGAAGCATAGAAATCTGATGTAAGGACAACTTGGTCTAATTAGTCTCCTATTGATGAAACTTTAGCTGGTCTCTGATATTTTTGCCATTACAAATAATGCTACAGTGAATATCATTGTATATACATCATTTCAAAACTATTGCTGCATCTTTAAATATACATATATATTTTATAAGAAGCTCTGATGGCATAATCGATATGGCACTTTGCTACTAACCAGAAGGTCAGTGGTTTAAACCCACCAGCCGCTCTGTGGAAGGAAGATGAGGCAATCTAGTTCTATAAAGATTTACAGCCACAGAAACCCAATGGGGGTTACTATGAGTTGGAAACAACTTGCTGGCAGTGAGTTTGGTTTTTATACATTTTATATATACACACACATATAATATATGTATATATCTATACATAGAACTTCTGTGTGTTTATGGGTGCACATGCACTCATATATTTCTACCGGTAAAACTGCTGGGTCAAAAAGTTGCAAATTTTTAATTTTGGAAGCTATAGCCATATTGTCCTCCATAGACATCCAAGTTGCCTGCCTGTCATAAACATATGACAGTGCCTGTTTCACTACACTCTTTCCAACACAATATCTTTTCAAACTCTTTGAGCTTTGCCAAACTTATCAGTGGAAACTTCATTTCATTGTAGTTTTACTTTGCCTTTTTTCATCACAAATAAGGTTGATCAACCTTTATGTATTTGAGAGCCTTTTATATCTATTTTTAAATGAAATAATTGCTTTGGGTTGCTGGTCTTTCTTTTTACTTGTAGCTGTCCTTTTTATATTAAGGACTTCACCCCTTTATGTGCATTCTCAGACTTTAAATAGCATTCACCACAGGTATGGTTATTTTGTGTTTTCAGAAACAATATTGATCTGTTCTTGAGCAGAATAAGTTGCTAATTTGACAATCACTATGGTCAAGCTAGTGATAAGCACTACTGTACAACATCAAAGGATGAGCCAGCATGACACTTTTCTTCAAAACAAGGTTCTGAAACACCTCTGTCTAAATAGATGAACGCCAACTGCACTTATTTCTCACACCCATCTCTCTTATTATCCTATAAAAAATGATTTTAAGAACAGAAAGCCTTTTGCTAACGAAATTCTTTATAGTAGGTGGCTATCTAACCACTGTTTCGTAAAGTAAGACATCACTCTAGTTACAGGAAGAAAATTCATTACCTAGCAGAGCAGTTATTTTCAAAAAGGATTCTTAGAGTAGAAAAAAGTTTCATCCATTCGGTACACATCAAAAAGAGAAAAGCTCATAGAAGGGAATGTGAAAAGGGGAGTCAAAGCAAATTACCTTAATACTTGGTATGCAAAGCTTTGTACTGCCAGCAATCCTTTTTCTTCTGAATCTCATAGACTTCATTATTTAAAAAGCATCAATTATTCATGTTCATAGTATTAGTCTAAACACTGTATTTTATGAAGTCCCTCACAAACCTGCCCTTTTTCTTTCATCTCTGGCTATAAAATACCTTTTTCTGTGTCTTTGCTAACCTTACAGTGATTGGTTCATCTCTCTCCCATTCATTTTGACCTAGGGGGACAGCCCAGTCTTTATCCTGTCTGCTATCTGTGATTCTAAAGCTTTCATAATCACCTCTCACAGCCTTCATTTTTCAAGCAAAATGTTCTCCTTACTAACTCGATGAGACTTTTTTTGAATTATCTTGTTTGTGTGGATCACTTATATTTAACTCTAGTTATTTCTGTAATTAAGTAATACTCATATCAATATAAAAATATTTTGTCAAGTATTGATTCTATCATTTGATTATAGTGACTTTTGCAAACTGGCAATCAGTTCATATTTTTAAAATTATATTTTATGTGACAGTATCTTCATTTTCTTGGTCAATTGAATGGCCAATAGGGAAAAAATAAACCATTTCCTTTAATTCTTTAGTATAATCTGAAGTAGGTAAGGATACCCTTTTTTTTTTTTTTAGAAATTTTAGAAATTCCAATTTATTACTGGTAGTCCTTTTCTTAAAATCTTGAAGTTCTAATTGTGTAGTAGAGGCCTGTATTTACCTCTTTATCCCACAAAAAGGAGAATTCTTCCTCAAGAAAGGAGAAGATACGGCAAAGGGTTTAACAGAGAAAGGGAAAAGCAATAGGATACTTCTATTAGAAAAAAGGAAGATGGAGGAAGAAGGGGGCAAGAGGTCTGACTTAATGGTCCTGACTACCCACTTAAAACCCAGATAAACACAAAACATAAAAAGATAAACACAAACATAAAAGTAAGCCTTAGGCTTTGGCAAGTTGATTTTTATAACATCTTTTGGGTTTGTTCTAAGCATACTGTTAATTTCTATCATGGAAACACAAAAGAGCAAATGGACAGTTTTTATTTTCTGTAGTCTAGAAAATAGAAGAGTTTCATCTAGCTCTGATAATTAGCCTTAATCAAAATTAACGCAGAAAAGAAAAAAAACACAAAACACTTCGATACCTGAAGTTTGGTTTCCTGTTTGGCGCCAACTTGTTGACAGAAGACTTGGAAGAAATCAGCTACACCTTCTTCCACCCACAGCAAAGTGACAGAAGTCTGGGTTTTATTCACTGCAAAAAGCGATTTTGGAGGAGCTGGTTCTGAGCAAAGAAAAAGTTTTTTTTTTTTTTCTTTTTAAATGCCATTGAATGTATTTTTCCTTTACTAAAATACAGGAAAAAAAAAAAAAAAGCCAAAAAATCTAAATAAAGGTAGTTAAAAGCACCGTAAAGATTTTATATGCTTTTGAAATATGTCCTTTCACAAAGATAGTCATCTAAATTGGAAGCAGAATATTTTTGCATTTCTTTCCTTTCTATTTTATACTTCTCTTTTTAGAACACTTCTGTTTTCAACTTCAGCTTTGTTATAGACATAATCTATTAATAGTTTTGTGTCATATGCACTAGAGTTAATGCCCTGCTACTACAAGAAGTTTTTGTATGAGAAACAAAAATCTGTATATAAAAGGCTGAAAAAAATGAAAGTGATGTGTCCCCTTCTAATGGAGAGATTCAGTTTGGTACTTAGCCAACAACTTGTCTTCCTTTCTCTAGAAACTATTTGGAATATTTTATTCAGGGGAATGGCTTCATGAAAATTTAGTAAAAATCGAGGGATAAAGCTAAACAGAGGATATGAATTTTTTTTTTTTTTTAAGGAAAAGATTGATGGAAAAGGATTGAGTGATTAATGATATGTTAGAGGACCTATTTCTTTATCTTATTCTTTTAGACTTTTGATCTTATCAATGAATTAATCCATTAGTTGAATGAGATGTGCTGTCTGTGCCCTTTCATGCTAATTACCAGTAATGGGGTCACTGCCCTTATTGGATTGAGACCAACCCCTTGCCTGTTTCCTAGTTCTAGCAAGTGGCTTGCGGTCTTGTTCCCCTGTATCTGAATCTCCCTAAGACCCCTCTGGGCCTCTGTCCTTTAGGTGTTGCCTTTTATTTTAGTTAGTTTTCTCAGTATACAAAATGCTGTGCTGGATTCCAATTTTTTAAGGTAGGGTCCTTGTTACCTGCTGTCAGACCTCCTTGACGTTGCTTGTTTGGACAAATTATATCCTGCTGCCAAATTCACTTAACAGCATCCTCTGACTACCTGCCTGCCCCTGTCAGACAACTACCCATCACTCTAGGTCTTTTACTGCTTGTTACTTGGACTTTTATATTATTATTATTATTATCTGCCCTATACTTCCAAGTCTTGACTCTAATTCTTAGCTTTTAGCAGTGTGTGAAAAAAGATCTACTGGCCATTTTTCCCCTCTGGCATTTAAATGACTTTATGTGGGGAGATCTGGACCTTCTTTCTAGAATATCAACGTCATGGCCTTATCCAGAACAAAGAAGTGTATAAAGGACATTCTTGACATGATTTGTCATGGGTAAGCTACACTTGTGTCTGACTAAAAAGAAGCATTTTTCTTTCCAGAGGCAATTTGACAAGGTTAGGCAAAAGAGTTGAGGGAGGGAAGAGATGAGTAAGTTTGGGGCAAGCATAATTCACAGTAGATATCAGAACTCCCTTTTCTTTTGCAATGCATTATCCACTCCTCAGTCATTGTTTTGTCTCACTTCCCCTCTGAAAACTGTTGATGAAACACAAAAGTCAGCTTCCACCTCCCACATCCTTTGAACCTGTCATTGCTAATAGGATATGAGTCAGAGAATAAGCCCTCCACTGATTCTGACTCCTGTAGAAGCTTGGGTCTTAGGAAACAAGTGTGAGGTTGTTTTGGCCAGAGATGGAAGATTTGTTATGTTGAATTTAGCAACTTTTTCTCTTTTCAAAGTACAGTCTACAAAATTTCTCCTCAGAGTGGGTCTCTTCTGATTTATGATCAGAATTCCCAGGAAGTCTGTATTTTTCCCTCTAGATACTTTATCTGTTCAATATAAACATTGCCCAAATCCTAATCTCTGGATCCAACTTTTTACACCTGTATTTTCAATTACATATCTATGTGCCTACTCAAATATCTCACTATTACCTCACCACATTGTCACAATGGAAACTGGCTTTTTCCCCTTTTCACAAATCAATACTTTCTACCACTCCTGATTGTCTCATGGGCACCATCATTCTTTCAATAGTCTAAGGCAAAAATTTTGAGGTTCTCCTTTCGCTTCTCAGTCCTTCATAATACATCCCTCCCCCACCCTTTAAAAAATAATTCTTATCATGTCTTCCTTTTATCTGTCCAGATTTTTGTCATCATTCTCATGGATCATTATAAAAAGCTATCTGCCCTTTTTCATTGCCTCTGGTTGTGTTTTTTTTCTTTTTTCTTTTTTTTTTTTTTTTACTTTTATTGTGGTGAAAACATACACAAGATACTTGCCAACATAACTTCCACATTCATAGCTCAGGGACATTGAAGACGTTTTTCATGTTGTGCCACTGTTATTGCTATCCTTTTCAAAATATTCCACCACCTATTAACTTATTAGCATAAACTCAGTGCCCCCCAAACAAAGCTTCTCTTTCTCCTGCCCTCATAGACCTGGTAACCACTAATCTTTGATATGTATGTGTATGTATATATATATGTGTGTGTGTGTGTGTGTGTGTGTGTGTGGTTGTCTTTTTTTTTTTTTTTCCCCAACCTATCTAGAAATCTGCCACCACACCCCATCCCTGGTAAACAACAAAGAAAGTTTCCTTCTATCTATAAACCTTCCCTTGACTTTTACAATAATGAACTAATATAATATTTGTCCTTCTGTGATTGACTTATTTCACTCAGCATAATATCCTTCAAGTTCATTCATGTTATATGGTATTTTGCAGATTCTACCTTATTCTTTAGGGTTGCATAGTATTCCATTGTGTGTATGTAGCATAGTTTGTTTATCTGTTCCTTGGTTGATGGGCACTTAAGTTGTTTCCTTCTCTTTGCTATTGTGAATAGTGCTGCAATGAACATATGTTTATTGGTAGCCTGAATATCCTTTTGGGTGAAGTGTCTATTCATGTCGTGTGCCCATTTTTTAAACTGAATTGTTTATCTTTTTTCTGTTGAGGTGCTGGAGTTTTCTATAAACTTTAGAGATAAGTTCTCTGATATGTCATTGTGAATATTTTTTCCAATTCTATAGGTTCTCCTTTTACTCTTTTGGAGAAGTCTTTTGGTGGACATAAGAATTTAATTTTTAGAAGTTACCAATCATCTAGTTTGTCTTCTTCGGGTTGTGCCTCTTTGGTTATGCATGACAGTTTATTTATGCATAAATTAGAGCCCCTGAGTTTGCCCCTATTTTTTCTTTGATGAACTTTATATTTTAAGTTTCACATTTAAGTCTTTGATCCATCTGGTGTTCATTTTTGTGTATGGTGTGAGGTGTGGATCTTTGTTTCATTTTTCTGCAAAGGATATCCAGTTTTGCCAGGACAATTTGTGAAAGAGACTATCTCTTTGCCATTTAATGGATTTTGGCCCTTTGTCAAAGATCAACTAATCACAGGTTGATGGATTTATTTCTGGGTTCTCAATTCTGTTCCATTGGTGTATGTGTCTGTCCTTGTACCAATACCAGGCTGTTTTGACAACTGTGGCTATACAGTCGGTTTTGAGATCTGGGAGTGTGAGATCTCCTACTTGGTTCTTCTCTGGTAGTGTTTTACTTATTTGAGATCTCTTTCCTTTCCATATAAAATTAGTGATTGGTTTTTCCATGTCTTTAAAGGATGTTGATGGAATCTGGATAGGGATTGCATTGAATGTATAGATTGCTTTGGATAGTATTGACATTTTCACAATGTTCAATCTTCCTATCCACAAGCATGGGATGTTTTTACATTTATGTAGATCTCATATAGTTTCTCACAGTAGTGTTTTGTAGTTTTCTTTGGATAGGTCATTTGTGTTCCTGGAAAGGTTTATTCCCAAGTATTTGATCTTTTTGACAGCTATTGTATATGGTATTGATTTCGTTATTTCCTTTTCAGCAACCCCTTTGCTGGTGTAGAGGAATCCAATTGATTTCTGTATGTTGCTCTTCTATCCTGCCACTATGCTATATTTTTCAATTAGTTCCAGTAATTTTCTTGCTGAGTCTCTTGGGTTTTCTACGTATAGGATCATATCATCAGCAAATAGGGATAGTTTGACTTCTTCCTTACCAATTTGGATGCCTTTGATCTCCCGTTCTTGCCTTATGGCCCTGGCTAGGACTTCCAGTACAATGTTGAATAGAAGTGGTGATAGATGGTATACTTGTCTGGTTTCTGTTTGCAAGGGGAATGGTTTCAGTCTCTCTCCACTGAGAATAAATGTTGGCTGTTGGTTTTGCACATAAGTCCTTTATTATGTTGAGGAATGTCTCTTCTATTCCTATTTTTCTGAGAGTTTTTATCAGGAATAGGTGTCAGATTTTATCAAATTCTTTTCTGCATTTATTGATATGATCACGTGATTCTTTTATTTTACTTATATGATGGATTACGTTGATTGTTTTTCTAATGTTGATTCATCCTTGCATACTTGTTATGAATCCCATTTGGTCATGATGTATTATTCTTTTGATATATTGTTGGAGTTCTATTGGCTAGGATTTGTTGAAGATATTTGCATCTATATTCATCAGGGATATTGATCTGTAGTTTTCCTTTCCAATGGTGTTCTTGCCTGGTTTTGGTATCAAGATTATGCTTGCTTCATAAAATGAATTTGGGACGACTCCATCCTTTTCTATATTTTGGAATAGTTTGAGTAGGATTGGTGTCAGCTCTTCTCTGAATGATTGGTAGAATTCTCCAGTGAAATCATCAGGGCCAGGACTTTTTTTTTTTTTTGGTAATTTTTTTATAAGCTGTTCAATATCTTCTTTTGTTATGAATCTGTTCAGATTTTCTACCTCAGTCTCTGTGAGTTTAGGTAAGTAGTGTGTTTCAAGAAATCTGTCCATTTCTTCTGGGTTTTCAGATTTGTTGGAGTACAGTTTTTTTTTATAGTATCCTGATATTATTCTTTTTATTTCTGTTGGTTCTGTTGTGACACCATTCAATTTATTTCTTATTCGTGTTATTTGTATTCTCTTCCTCTTTTCCTTTGTTAAGTTTTCCAGTGGTTGGTTGATTTTATTAACCTT